ATATTATATTATATTATATTATATTATATTGTAAACTTTGCTAAGCTAATAGCACTTTGGCAGAGAAGAGCGTTTTAGTGTCAAAGTAGACTAATCTTTTCTGTGGGCATGTGGAAAACCTTTGAGGTAGCTCACCATATGCCGTTTTTCAAATCACGTTCTAATTTAATTGTGAAAGAATTAATTCTAATTACATTTACAACATTTATTAATATAAATAATTAATTAATAGTATAGTAAATCTATCTTTTTTATTGCAAAGTAAACCTCGTTGTTTTTTTCGTGAATTTTTAGTTAGGCGCAAAGCAGGACAGCCAACCTTAAGGTCCTTTTCCAAGGGACCTGCAGTTAATGAACAAAAAACTTAGCGTTCGGCGCCACTGCTGGACATTTTCTAATACTATAACCCATATATTTTGATTCAGAAACGCTCTAAAGACCACCATAAAACAAGTAGAACTGAAGAAGTATTTTAAAAGAAACAACAACCATGATAACATCTGCCGGTAAGTCTCCGTAGGCATGTATTGTTTTAGGTTTGTAGCCGTAACTTCAGCTAGCTCAGTTGCCATTGATTTAGCTGAGTCACAGAGGTAGCAGTAGCTGTCAGTCGTTTACTACTACTGACAGTAAATAAAACACTGAACCTGTCTAGATTTACAAGTTGTGTTTTACCTAAATGATATATCTAATTAATTTAATATGTAATTGTAGCTTGATATGTTATTGAAAACAAAAACAAGATGTAGATATGAACACATATTCAGTCGTGTGTCAGAGGGTGTTCCAAACCATGACGGCTTATTGGTCTTAATGAAAACGAAGATTGATTTTTACTTTGTAAGACTACTTAACTATGGCGACTACTGTATTTTTTGTTAAGCATGTATGTAATTAAACAGATTACAGGTGCGCGGGTTCTGTAAACAACAAGGTTAGTCTAAAGCAGGCAATCCTGGTCTTCGAGGGCCGGTATCCTGCATGTTCTACTTGTTTCCCTGCTCCAACACACTTCAGTGACTCAATTACCTCTTCAAGTTCTGTAGAAGCTTTGTAATCACCCATTCGTTTAAAKCAAGTGTGTTGGAGCAGAGAAACCACTTCGGGTTTAAAGACGTGTGTATTATGTTAAACAGACCTGGGATGTTTTGATTTGCTACATGGGTTAAACATGCCACTGTAATATATGTATTTGTTTTGTATTTATGTCTAGCTGGTATAATTTCACTCCTTGATGAAGAGGAGCCACAACTCAAGGTAAATACAGTTGTTAACAAGACACAACTGTGACAAAGTTATGGCACCTAGTATACCATTACAAGAGTCACAATAAAGTTGTTGTGTGAAATTACCCAAAAGTCACTTTTGGTGTGTGTGTGAATGCTTAAGCAACATCTTTGTTTTACTTGTAGGAGTTTGCTCTACACAAGCTTGATGCCATTGTGAATGACTTCTGGGCTGAGATTTCTGGATCCGTAGATAAAATGTAAGTACGACTGAGTTAGGATTGCAACATAAAACAGCAACAGCTAAGTAAATATTTGTCATTAATGCATGTTCCCGTACGATGATGAGATTTGTTCTCAGCATTTGACCTGTTACATTTGAGAAACACCTAAGTGGAGCAGCTATTTAAGCACTCGTGGAGCAGGGGGTTAGGTGATTTCTCAAGGACACCACAACATGTGTGCTGCCCCATCATTGCTCCACAGCCTCCCCTGGTTCATAGTTTAATGTTTCTTTTGTCTGTTATGAGACTAACGATTGGTTTAAAATGTGTTTAAAATTCAGGACAGTACTGACATGGTTAACGTAAATTATATTATGAACAAATTGTTTTACCAGTCAGAAATGTGTTTCACAATCACTGCTGAGTCTTTACCTGTTTGCACAATTAAGGAGTAGGGTTGGGCAATATTGGCAAAAAAATTAATCACGATTAATTGTGGTATTTAGCCGATAACGATTAATTTGACGATTAATGCCCTGGAGTCCCTGGACACCCTTATGTCCTAGTCACATGACAAATTTAGTGGGAAAGATTTGCTCTTCGTAAAAATCTTTTCCAAATTGTGTAAAAATTACAGACTTCAGGCGGTACATCAAATTCTAAATTATGTTGATATATAAGTAAATTACAGAACTTTTTTTTAATGTTCATCATATTTGAAGCGGAGAGGAGCACCGAGCGGACTCTGTCTGGTAGCATTAATCGTATTAATCATCAAGTGCCAAAAAATAATCGATTAATGTTTTTCTGACGATTAATTGCGCACGATACGATTATGCCCAACCCTATTAAGGAGATTTTTATATTTTATTCTACATTGTTTCTAATGCTACTTTCTATGATAAAGAAAATTTAGATTTAGCCATACAGAGGACAAACTGTCTTTTCTCACTGCTTTTTAT